GGGGAAGTGCCCTCCATGCTGGATGTGATATTTACCAGGAAGGAGGATGAGATACTAGATATTCAGTGCCTCTATTCCTTGGGTAAAAGTGACCATGTCATTTTGGGAATAAAGTATGCAATGCGTTATAATCAGGAAGAAAATGAGGGTGAAGCTGTTGAAAAGCCTGATTTCAGGAGAGGTCATTATGGGGAACTCTGACATTTCTTTAAGGAATTTGACTGGAAAGACTTGCTGTTAGGACACTAAGTAAACGAGATGTATGTCAAATTTTGTGAAATATATGATAAAGGAACAAAAAAATTTATAACAAGAGATGCAGAACTAGGAAACAGGATTGGTGCAACAAAAATTGCAAGAGGGCCAGAGACCAAAAGACACAAAAATGGAATCAGTATAGGAAGAGGCTAACCCCCAAACTTACCAGCGATACAAAGATGCGAGAAACAACTACACGGCAGTGAGGAGAGAGGCAGAAAGAAATTTTGAAAAAAGGATTGCGGACAAAAGTAAAGTAAAACTAGGTCTATTCTATAAATTCATAAACAACAAATTGCAGGTAAAGGATAATATTCACAGAGGTTGAAAATGGGAAATAGATTCACAGAAAATAAAAAGGAAATGTGTGAAACATTAAATGAAAAGTTCCAAAGTATGTTTGTACAAAATGAAATCTTCAGGGGAACCAGACAAAATAAGAATTCCAGAAAACAGCATAGAGCACATAGAGGTAGCTGTCTAGAGACGAAGTGGAAAAAATGCTCAAGGAGCTAAGTAAGAACAAAGCAGTTGGTCCAGATGGAGTTTCACCATGGGTTCTGAGAGAATGTGCACCTGAGCTTAGCATTCCACTTCAACTGATTTTTCAGGCATCCCTGTGTACAGGAGTTGTAGCTGATGTGTGGAAAAAAGCTAACATAGTTCCAATCTACAAAAGTGGCAGCAGGGAAGACCCCCCCCCCCCCAAATTACAGACCCGCATCATTGACAAGTCAAAATATTGGAAAAATAATTAAAACTAAATGGGTAGAACACCTGGAGAAAAATTTATTAATAATATTAGACAGACAGTATGGTTTTTGATCTGGAAGGTCTTGTGTAACGAATTTACTCAAGTTTCTATGATCAAGCCACAGAGATTTAACAGGAAAGAGATGGTTGGTTGACTGCATCTATCTGGACCTAAAAAAGGCTTCCACAAAGCCAAAAAAGAAAAGAGTTCCACAGAAGAGGTTGTTTTGGAAACGGGAACGTTTTGGAGGGGTAACAGGTAAGCTTCTAACATGGATGAAAAATTTCCTGATAGAAAAATGAGGGCCATAATCAGAGGCAATGTATCGGATTGGAGGAATGTCTCAAGTTGAGTAACACAGGGTTCAGTTCTTGCACCGGTAATGTTTATTGTCTACAATAAACAAAGCTGGAGCCGGTGGCTGAGCGGACAGAACACTGGACGCGTGATCCTGTGGTCTCGGGTTCGATCCCGGGTGCAGGTGAGAAACAATGGGCAGAGTTTCTTTCACCCTGATGCCCCTGTTACCTAGCAGTAAATAGGTACCTGGGAGATAGTCAGCTGTCACGGGCTGCTTCCTGGGGGTGGAGGCCTGGTCGAGGACTGGGCCGTGGGGACACTAAACCCCGAAATTATCTCAAGATAACCTCAAGATAACCACTACATAAACGATCTACCAGATGGAATACAGAATTATATGAACATGTTTGCTGATGATGCTAAGATAATAGGGAAGATAAGACATCTAGATGATTGTCATCCCCTTCAAGAAGATCTGGACAAAATAAGTATATGGAGCACCACTTGGCAAATGGAATTTAATGTTAATAAATGCCATGTTAAGGAATGTGGAATTGGTGAACATAGACCCCACACAATCTATAAATTATGTGAGAAATCTTTAAAGAATTCTGACAAAGAAAGAGATCTAGGGGTGGTCCAGAGTCAGACTAATATAACTGCCAGTGTCAGACTAATATATCTGCCAGAGTCAGACTAATATAACTGCCAGTCAGGCTAGTATAACTACCAGTCAGACTAATAAAACTGCCAGTGTCAGATAAATATACCTGTCAGTGTCAGACTAATATGACTGACAGTGTCAGACTAATATAACTGCCAGTGTCAGACTAATATAACGGCCAGAATCAGGCTAATATAGCTGCCAGTGTCAGGATGTTATATTAGTCTGACTTTAAATTTATGCTTTGCAACATTACAGCAGTCATCCCTTTACATCCCAGCATCATTAGCATCTTTAAAAAAAAAAAAAAACATTTATTTGCATCGTCGAAGGCATCCGAGAATTTGGGAGAACCAGCGGGAACGCTAGGAAGTACCACGTGGTTTTCTCGTTAATGGAGCGGAAGCTCGTCAATCGAGACACGTTTTCTGTGAGTGGCTAGCGCGTTACTCAAAATACTTATAGATGGAGCCGCTCATCAAACAAGGTTCCACTGTATTCATAAAGAAATGTAAAGTATCAGTTGCGCGAATGCTCAGTGTAATATGGAGAGAGAGAGACTGGATACAGGAGAGATACAAGCAGCACTTAAATTTGCAGATATAGCTCCTCTTCACAAGGGAGGTATAAGTACAATACAGTATTGGCAAAAAATTATACACCAGTTGCACTAATATCACACATTATAAAAGTTTTTGAAAAAGTGATTAGGAATCAAATTTGTAGTTTTATGAAAAATTAAGAACTACACAACCCTGAACAACATGGATTTAGAGTGGGAAGATCCTGTCTGTCACAGTTACTCAACCACTATGACAAAATTACAGAAGCCTTAGAAGAAAAGCAAAATGCAGATGTTGTATACACACTTTGCAAAGGCATTCGACAAATGACCATGGAGTGATAGAACACAAAATAAGGTAAATGGGAATAACTAGTAAAGACTGGATACTTAATTTCCTGTCGAATAGAACACAAAGAATAACAGTCAATCAAATAAAATAGAGTCCAAGTGCAGTTAGTCTCCGTGGTGCAGTGGCAAGACATTCGCCTGGCGTTCTGCGGGCGCTTTGTCATGGGTTCGTATCCTGGCCGGGGAGGATTTACTGGGCGCAAATCCTTAACTGTAGCCTCTGTTTAACTCAACAGTAAAATAAGTACTTATTGTAACAACGATTCTTCGTGGCGGGGATCGTTTTCCAAAGACCTGCCCGAAACGCTACGCGTACTAGTGGCTGTATAAGAATGTAACAACTCTTGTATATATCTAAAAAAAAAAAAAAAAAAACGCTCTGTACCTCAGGGTACAGTCTTTGCACCACTGCCTTTCCTTATTCTTATATCAGATACAGAGGAACCTCGGTTAACGAATTTAATCCGTTCTGGCACCGAGCTCATCGTGTGAAACACTCGTCTTGGTAAATAAATATCCCCATTTAACCCTTAAATTGCTCAGCAAAAGGGGCAGGGAAGCAAAAAATATTTAAATTATATAAACATTACTTAAAAATGTTAAATAAATCTCTAACTTATTAGCTTCAGTGTCGTGAAACTTTCAAAATATTTTCAGAAATTGATTTTAGACGAATTTTTAAAAAGAAGAACGTTTTGTTGATAAGGAGAACAGCTCTTGTTAACTGGAACTGGTGGCTAATGCAGTAATAGAGAGATGCAAGCACCTGTCCAACACACAAAGACGAAGAAGAATAGTAAGAAGTGTCCACAAAGTGGATATGCAGATGGTGCCTTTATAGCATTGCTGAGTAATACATAACACAAATAATAATGAGTAAGTATATTATTATGCTTTATTTTGTTATACAATGGAACCCCGGGTTACAAGCGTCCTTGTTTATGAGTTTTTCGGTTATGAGACCGACTTGTTCGGAAAATTTGCATTGGGATACAAGCATTGCATCGGGTAACAAGTTTGTTGCTGATGATGTCTGATGACCTAAAGTTTAGGGAGCATAACCAACCATATATTGCAGCAACCAGAAAAAGATAGGATGGATTACAAGAACTCTCATATCCAGGGATCCCACCACAATGGTTGTACTATTCAAATCACCTGTGCTGTCGTGTCTTGAGTACTCCTCAGTACTCACTTCCCGCTTCAGAGCAGGAAGTTGCTGAAATAGAGGGAGCACAGAGAACAAATACGGCATACATAAACACAACAAAGCACCTAAATTATTGGGATCATCTCAAAGCTCTCCAAATGTACTCACTAGAAAGTAACTGAGAGATATCAAATAATGTACACGTGGAAAATCCTGGAGTGCCAGGTACCAAATCTATAGAGTAAAATAACAACATACTGGAGTGAACAATATGGAAGAAAATGCAGAATAGCACTAGTTATGAGCAGGGGTGCCATAGGCACAATCAGAAGAACACTGTATAAATATCATAGGTCCAGGGTTGTTGAATATCCTCCCAGCGAGTATAAAAAAAAATTGCCGGAACAACCGTGGACATCAAAAGAAAACTATGTTGCTTTCTTCAGTAAGTGGCGGACGAACCGGGCTGTGGTGGATATGTTGGCCTGTTGGCCACTCCAAACAACAGCCTGTTAGACCAAGCTCTTACAAGTTAAGACCGGGCTTGGGGAGTAAAGAACTCCCAGAACCCCATCATGCAGGTATCCCCACTAACTCCATCCCCACATCAGACCCTCCCAACTACCTCCATCCTCACACCTGACCCTCCCCACTTCCATCCATCCCCCATAGTGGACTTTCCCCACCACCTCCATCCCCACACTAGACCCTCCCCACCACCTCCATCCCCACACTTGACCCTCCCCAAAAAAAAAAAAAAAACAATGTAATGAACCACATAATGTCTTTCTACACAATAAAATATTCATTTTTTTCTATAATAAAATTTCAGTCTTAGACCAATTGATGTAAAATATGTCAACTTTAAGAAATGCATTAGCTATTAGTATTGCATGGCACACAACACACATTATTACTGAACATACACACACACAAGACAACTCTGGGAACATTACTGCACCTTCCATCTTCCGCTGAGAGGTTTCAACGATACCGCATGGGCTCCATTCTCTCTTGTCTCGAGGAGCTTCATCCTGTCGTTCGAACATAGAAGCCCTCTTGTTCACAAAGAATTTGTTCATGCTCAGGGAAGGGAGCGAGTTTCTCTTATTATTCCTCATCGCACACATTTTTTTTTTCTCACAACTCGGCAACAATTTTCACTTAACTTTGAATATAATTTTTTCAAAATATTTACACTTGATTAATGATTATCTTACAGCACTATACACAAATTTTCTACTCATTTCATTTCAATATAAATATTAACCACCTTTTCACTGTACAGTAATTCACCTCTAGTATGAAAGAATTAATTGAAATACTGTGTCATTCAATTTCTTCAAATTTCACTAAGGAACACTTTACACCTTAAGCCAAGAAAAAAATCTGTACTGTATAGAGAAGATACTCATGTTACAAAGGCATGAAATAATGCTATGTTTTGTTACCAGGGACAAGCAGCAAGGTTCAGAAAGTAGTCAGCATCTTTTCATTTTCCTTTTTTAATATAAAGATAAATTTTTTAGATCAAAGTTAATTCAAAATTAATATAATAGACACTAACCTCAACCATCAGGCTCAAACTGTATGTTCACAACATGCCAACCTAGCAACACCTAATTATGGTGGTCACAACCCTTAATTAAACTGCGCAAAACGTCATATGATGTGTGACCTTGAGCTCAGTTTTTTAAATTTTCTGGAAACTCTTTCAAATGTTTTGTGCATAATCTACTAGGCAAATGATCCAACTTTGTCTAAATGACACCAGTGTAACTTAATAAACAAGAAAATATAAAATAATTATAAAATTGAATATTGAAAACTTAAGATTTTGAAATTAGCTGCAAAAATATAAAATACCACCAACTGTTCATTTGGTGTTATTATGCTCTCAGAATAGCATATGATCTTCATTTTCATATATTTAGAATATAGGTTTTCAGTATAGTTTACTGTAAAAAAAATTTGTCATTATGGCATTTGAAATATGCGCAAATTTAGACAGCAAAATTTATAACTCCAAACGTTTAGATTTTATTAAAAATCATTTCTATAGGGATTGTAAAACAGACAGCTGTGCACACTACTGTATATGTAAAAATGATGAGAATCGGTCAGAAACTAGATTTTTGGATCCTGATGTAAGTTGAAATTCTAGTTAATAGATATAATTGAAGTTGAATTTATCGACAATGAATATGGCAGATCTAATTCATGAATTTACTTGTATGTTGTAATAAACATTGTTTGGCATTCAGACTCAAATATGTGAAAGTTGTAGGTCACTATGTGTTGAAATGAAGTCAAGAAAAAAATACACCCCCCCAAAAAAAAAATATAGGAATAATTATAATGATTTAGGGGATATATTTAAGGTATACTGTACTTTATATAAGTAAAAAAGCCCTAATCTGGTCCCTAATCAACAAAACAACCTAAAGAAACAAGGAAAATAGAGTTTGAAGTCTGTGAAAAAATCAGACAAAAAAATTAAAAGTCCCAAGTTCTGAGGGTTGTGACTGATTTATTTGTTGACCAATTTACTTCTGTCTTCATATAGTTAGGTAAGGGTATGCATTCTCCAGGATGTAAAGGTTATAACAAATTCAAATAATAAACGAAGGAGGAAAAAACTAAAAACCCAATTAAAAAAAAATTCCCTAAAAATTTTGATTTGAACATTGTTGAAAGTAAATGTGAATAACATTGGGTAATGTATTTATATGATATATAATAAAATAAAGCATAATAACATACTTACTCATTATTATTTGTGTTATTATGTATTACTCACCAATGCTATAAAGGCACCAGCTGCACATCCACTTTGTGGACACTTCTTATTACTATTCTTCTTTGTGCATCGGACAGGCGCTTGCATCTCTTTATTATTGCATTATCCATCAGTTCCAGTTAATAGGAGCCGTTCCCCTTAACAAAACTTCTTTTTTTTTAAATATTCGTCAAAAATCAATTTCTGAAAATATTCTGATGAATGTTTCACGACGCTGAAGCCAATAAGTTGGAGATTTGTTAACATTTTTAAGTAATTTTGACATCATTCAAATATTTTTTGAATTATACCCCCTTATGCTGAGCAATTTAAGGGTTAATCTCTATTTAAGTCTATGCTGTTCTAATTAATTATAAAATACTTTCAAGACAATATTGTACAATACAGTATTGTACTGTGTTGTATTCTTAAATTTTAGGGCCACGAGAAACACTATAATCTTACGAGAAAATCTGTAGGAGCCATTTGGAGGATTTAGACCTATGCTCTGGGTTCTAGACAAATACCTTAGACAACTACACCCCAACATGGTCAAAAGTATTGCAAACCGAGATTCAACTGAATCCTCTAGGGTTCGTGACGATTCAGGAACCCTATTCTATCTTGCGAATTTGAAGAGAAATGTTGGCGGTAGAATTCCCAGACTACACAGTCAGAGTGTATGGGGAAATTGTGTGAAACCTAAATTAGGCTTCAATGGTATCCTTCTGTTGAATCCGAGGTTACAAATCTTTTGACCATGTTGTGGTATAGTTGTCTAAGGTGTTTGCTTGGGAGTATTCAGTGCATAGGCTCAAATCTTCCTCAAGGATCCTGTTAATTTTCTCACTGATGCATCACGTTAATGTGATTTTTTTTTGTGCACTATAATCTTAAATGGCTATGTTAAGATTTTTATATATATTTTGCCATCAACAAAGCCTAAATTACCAAACAGAATCCTGCATATAATTGTATAATTGATACAATTCAGACAAAACAATCTTTACATAATAATCTAAATATATATGTAATTACGAAATAACTACATACAGTATTTGTAATTTAAATGAAATAATCTATATAAATAAAATGTAAATGTTCGTTTGTTCAAAATCGCTAATCTCCGAAAGTTCTTCACCGATTGCTTTGAAATTTTCACACAACGTTTCATTCGCATCCGAGCGGGTTTTTATATACATACTATATAGATGTCATGTCTGTGACAGGAAAAAACTTTTTTTTTTAAACTGTGTTTTTCATGTGAGGAAAATCTTTGAAACCTCTTTACCAATTGCTTTGACATTTCGACACAATGTTGCATTCGAATAGGCACGTGTTTTTATATACCTACTATATACATGCCTCACCTGTGACAGGAAAAACATTTTTTTTTTAAACAGCGCCATCTGTTTGACGTAAGAACAACACACGCTGTAATCTCGGAAAGTTCTTCACCGATTGCTTTGAAATTTTGACACTGCGTTCCATTCGAATATGCATATGTTTTTATATACAGTACCTACTACAGTATATAGATGCCACACCTATGGCAGGTAAAAATATGCTTTTTATTTTTTAAAAACAATGCCATCTGTTGCACATAATAACAACACATGCTATACTACAGCCCCTTCTCTGAATAGCCAGTATGTTTTAATACTAAGTGTAATAAGTACAATCCTGACTACAGGCTTAGTACATAAATACACTTAATCGCCAAAATCGCGATTTTGTACCAGAATATTAGTTTACCTGAAAAGCTGAATAGAAAACCACAACCTAACCTAACCTTCTTAGTGTATGAGGACAAGCATTTTATTGCTTCTTAATTACAATTAGTACTCAACCTATAGCTATATTGATATCAGTTTTATAAAACTAATAGAACAAAACTAAAATCTTTCAATAAATTATAAAGTAACTCAGAATATTTTCAAATTTTGTATAAAATCTCTATTGTTTAATAACACTGAAAAAGAAATTCTTTATATTTAAAACTTGTGTATAAAGAATTGAACATGAAAATTTCATCCTAAAATTTTGAGTGTCTTAAAAGAAAATGAGAATATATGGGGAGGTAAATGTAACAGCACCATAAGTGTAATTATGTACTATGCATGACAGTCAGGAAATATACTTATTACATTTAGTATTAAAACATACTGTCTATTTGGAGGATGCATTGTATACTAAATATGTTACAATTCCATTTCAATGTTTCTGATTGAATTGACAAATAGAATTTTCATACATTTAGATTAATTATTATTTTTATTTAATTATTTTGTGTGACATTGCGTTGGAATTGAGTTGTGTTGTTTATCATACCGTTCATTTCGTGAGTATAGTTTATTCTTTTAATTTTTAATTTTTTAATTTTGTTTTTTAACTGTTTTTCTTATATTTCAGTGATGGGAACATCAGATCATTTGATGTTCCCAATTTTCTGATGGGAACACCATATCATTTGGGAATGCATCGGACAAGGGAGTGGGGAATGGTGGGGAGGACGACGGGACAGGGGAGTTGGGGATGGTGAGGATGAACAATTCTTTTGACCATGTCGTGGTGCAATTGATTAGAGCCTGAATGTGGGAACACCCAGTGCATAGGTTAGAATCCTCATCATGGCTTCAGTGGATTTTCTCATTGATATATCACGATAATATGATTTCTCTGTGTAATAATAATAATTTTATTTACAAGAAGGTACAATGGGTTTGTGAGATTACATGAGACTGGTATTTTTACATTCTTTCAAAGCCACTAACACGCATATCATTTTGGGCATTTCATTTAAATGCTTATTAAAGCATTTAAAATAAGTTTAGTCTAGAAAATACTGTACTGTACAGTACTGTTAGAGCCTGCTAATCCAAATATATCTGCTAATCCTGCTAAATCAAATCTTTGAGTTACCTGATGGAAATCAATTTAGAGTTCTTGACTATTAATTCTACGATTCTTTGCGGCAGGGATCGTATTCCAGGGACCTGCCCAAAACACTACACGTACTAGTAGCTGTACAAGAATGTAACAACTCTTGTATATATCTCAAAAAAAAAAAATAATAATAAACAAGGGAAGGTGGGGTATGAGATTGAAGATTAGGAGAGATGCCCCCCATCTCCCCTAATCTTCAATTATAAGGAGATGAATTGAAGCAGGAGAATGGGGGAATGAAATGGGAGGAAGGGGAGAGGAAGAGGGGTAAATGGAAGAAGGAAGAGGAGGTAAAATGAGTGAAATGGGGAAAGGGAGTGAAATGGGAGAGAGGGTGAAATGGGGAGAGGGAATGAAATGAGGAGAGGGACTGAAATGGGGAGAAAGGGGGTGAGGGAGTGAAATGGGGAGAAGAGGGGGGTGAGGTAGTGAAATGGGGAGAGAGGAGAAATGGAAAAAAGATGGAAGAGGACAGGTGGGGAAGAGGAGGATATTCAAAGGATACCTGATCAATCAGGCTGCAACTTGTATGTCAGGCTGCAAACAGCTGCATCTGGATTGCACTTGTACCTAGATGGGGGTTCTGGGAGGGAGGGGGGGGGGTGTAGAAATAGCCCAAGCTACTCTATCCCTTTGAGATGTATTTTTTCTTGTCTCAATAACGATACTTGACCTCGAACTTCGGGTGGTCCTGGGAGTAGTTCTACCCAGGGCCGGGCTTGGGGGGGAGGGGAGGTGTAAGAACGAAAAGCCTAGCTGATCAAACCAGCAACCAGGAGGCCTGGTCAGAAACTGGGACATGGGGACACTGATCCCTGAAACTGTCAACAGGTACTCAGAGGGCAAGAGGGAGGAGGGAAAAGAAGGGAGGGGAGAGCAGAGTGGTAAGATGTGAGAGGGGGGAGAAACAAAGACCCAGGCACTACCAATTCCTCTCTCTCTATATATATATATCTATAAGATAAAAGAGAATACTGTAAAAACCCCGCACCTATGGAATTCAGACAGAGATAATCACAACTCCCTTTCACCCAGGGCCGACTTCCTTCAAGACCAAGCAGAAGGGTAATAATTATTAATTAATTATATTTTATTATAATAATCATAATTGTTGTAATTAATAATTATTAATCTTCTTTCTGCTTGGTCTTGAAGGAAACCGGTCTTGGGTACAAGGAGGCTGTGACGATCTCTGTCTGGACCCAGTAGGTGCAGAGCTCAGAAGTCCACCTCCAGGGAGGCTCGTGCGGCCCAGGCTCTGCTTTGGGAGGCTGGGGTTGTTCTTGCCCTTGCTGGGGTGGTTCTTCTCCAGCCCTAACCATGGCGGTCTCTGGGTTTGGAGTCCCTGTGCCTTCTTTTACAAACTTCGAGGTAACCTCTAGAGCTGGAGCCCCTAGGGCAGTTCGATGTTACAGTACCTTCAATCTCGTTCTGACAGTTCCTGCGATGGCGCTGGAACCAATCATATTGGCGTTTGCCTTTCCATTGGAGACTTTCGGCGCCATGGAGAGGGAGGACCTGCTGCATGGGTAACAGCTTCTCCCCTGTATCAACTTACTCTGGCTTTGCGTCCCGGAGAGGCCACTCCAGACCAACAACCAGAGAGCAACTCTATAGTCTCCCGAGACTGATGGATGCCTACTACTAAGAGAGAATGTTTGTCTCTCTGGCTGTCCCAAGTTTGAAGCCAGAAGCTTGGGCTTGTGTCACCCAACTTTGTAGCGGGAATGGTCTGGGGAACAGGACGAACATAAGCTGGTCAAGGTCAGCCAAAGTTAAATGCTTTAACCCTTAGACAGTGATTATTGTCAATTGTTGAATCACAGGGTAATGCTGTTATCATCATATGATAACAGCATATAACAAACACTTGATTTAAACAATTATTGTCTGAGTTTAACATGGGTGATGCAAATATGGATATAAAAGCTCTCTGTGGATGTAAATAAAGAAAAACAAATAATAAAACAATCGGTGAAACATTAGAGAATAAGTCATGAAGCGTCGGCAAAGTTAAGCACCAGGCGTTGATAAGTGACAGAAGCAGATTTACAGAGCACCTCCACACAGTGAAACGATATATATTCACTTATTTTCGTGCTTTTCTTATACATACAGTGGAACCTCGGTTGTCGAATGCCCTGCTTAATTAATTTTTCGGTTTATGACCTCAATTTCTTTGTAAAATTTGACTCTGTATACGAGCTTTGCCTCGCTTGCCGAGTTTATTGATACACGTATGGGCCGACCGAGTGTGTGGCGTGCCTCAGTTTACCATTGTATCCCACCTAGTGATGACCACGCTTTAATTTTTTGTGAAGAATTTAATTGTTTTTGTGGTTTTTTGGTTTCTGAACATAAAAGTAATTATAATATATCACACCATGGGTCCCAAGGAAGTCAGTGATAAAGCTCAATCTAAGAAAATATTTGTGAGGATGACGATAGAGGAAAAACAATAAATCATTCATAGTGAATGAATTTAAAAGTGAAAGAGTTAAAATGTAGGGAAAAACAGTGTTGATAGACAGGTTTTTAGTAAGACAAACAAGCAGTGAGCCACAACCAGGTCCTAGTGGTATGCCTGCAAAATGTAAGAGAGAGAGACAGAGAATACCCCAGAAATGTCATTACTGCCTGATGCTATAACGGAAGGGGATTTATCTTCCAAACACTAACACCTCTCCTCTTTCCCCCCATCCTCCTCACCATCTTCCATACGCCAACAAGAGTCTTCAGTAAAGGTAAGATATATTGGTATATACTGTAGCACAAAATATTAGTAGTACTGTAGTAGTATGTATAAAATGTATTTTTTAAGTTAATATTTTTGGGGGTGTGGAACGGATTAATTCAATTTACTGCACCTACTATCAAGAAGAATTCAATTAACATTATTTCTTATTGGAAAAGTTGTTTCAGTTTTCAAATTTTTGGCTATCGAACTGTCTCTGGGAACAGATTAAATTCGAAAACAGAGGTACTATTGTACAGTACAGTATATGGAACGGTTAATCTGTTGAAGATTGGAGGGGCAAGGAGGGGATGGGTTGGGAGGTAGGAAAGGGGGAAGTATGGGGAGAAGGGGCAGATGAGATGGGAGTGGGATGCTAAAGGAAAGAAGAGGGTGGGAAAGGAGGGAGGGGAAGAGGGGAGATGTGAGGAGAGGGAAGAAAAGAGAGGTGGAATGGGGGTGGGGGGAGGGACAGGCTATCCCAGGCACTACCAGCTTGAGGATAACCCTACTAGTTGAGGATAACAGGGGGACATGACTGAACATAAATGGATACAAGGATATAACAAAGGGTATATATTGATAAGGCTTCAAATACATCAACACAAAATAGAACTCAAAACAATGGATATAAACTGAAGAACTTTAGATTCAGAAAAGGCCAGGTAAATGCTGGTTTGGAAACAGGTTGTTGATATACAAAACAAATTACCAGTTAACACATTAGATGTGGAATCGCTGGATTATTTCAAACATAGGTTAGACATATACTGTATTGTACAGTATTTACCTGAATTTAACTGGTGGCCACTTTCTCTAGTGGTCTCAACAGGGACAATAAGCTAGCGGCTTATCAAAGGTCTCCCCCTCCCATGAATGAGTCTGGGTAGATATAAATAGGAGCTGCCTCGCATGGACCAATGAGCCTTCTGCAGGTTCCCTTATTCTTATGGTTTTGAGAAGTAATTTTAAAATTGTCAGAAATGTGAACTCAAACCGAAATTAAGAATTGTAGTTAAATATGGGAAACTGAGCTATTAGGACACAATCCCATGGATACAGTATAAATTTGGATTTTTTTTTTATACAGGGATAGTCCTGCATGGGCCCTAAGCCTCTGGCTGGCCCACTAAGTGTTAGGTTACGTTTGGTTAGGTTAGGTAAATCTATAGTCTTTTACAGTATATGAAGTGATCCTTATGTGTTCCATAGGTTGTTCCACAGGGTTCCACAGTGATCTGTTCCAGAGGCTTCTAAACCCATGGAACCACCTACCTGCCAAAGCAGTAAAGGTCAAAACTGTTAAATTTTAAAGTACAGTAAATCTGGAAAAGATCATCTTGGCAAATAGGAGGACCTTAAACAAGCCGTCGGCTTCCTGTCCTCGTCGAGGCCACTACTGTTAGCAGCCCTCGGGTAAATTCAAGTACTGTATAGTATAGAGTATTTCAAGACATTGTGCGAATAAAAAGTTCCCACTATAAATTCAGTTATTTAATACAGTAGTTGTACGGCTGTAGCAAGAACACCAGCTACTCTGAGACACACCGCAGAATGTTTTAACATCCACAGGTTATGACGTCCCTAAAACTGGAAATTATAAAAATCACGAAATCCAGTCGTTGCAAGCATTGAGGAAATATCATATGTAACAAACAGGGCAGACACCCAACTGGCATAAAAAACCAGCCTTGCCATTCTTCAACAGTGGAGCCAGATGCATATTTGATCATTAACAAAAAATTAATTATAAAATATGTAATTTGTCATTATGGAGACTATATTCAAACGAAATCTCTTGCTACGTATCTTCCCTCATTGATAAATTGTAATATACTTAACACCTGCTAAATTATAACTAATTTTGATGAAGAGCAGAGTTAACATTAGCATTATTCATGCATGATATGTTGAGAATATAGCAGAGTATAATGTGTTGTGTGAGTGAGTGAGGCGCAGGGCCGGCCAGGCTCTGTGGTGCCACTTGTGCCCCGCCATCACTTGCCAACACTTGCCAGGGGGCAGAGAGGCACCTGCGAGGAGGTGAGCAGAGGCAGTAACTGTGAGGTATGTGGAGGTGACACGAGTGCAGGAGGCGCGGGTGTTGAACACATGGTAGCCGGAGCACACTGGAGCCTGCCTGAGGCTCGCGGCTCCCCCCAGGCACTCTGCCAAGTGCCTCAGCTTCACCCTGGCATCCCACACTCAGCCTCGCATCACACTTGCGTCACTCTACCGTATACAAAAAAAGATGCTGGTATTGCGGCCCGAGCCAAGTGACGTGAAAAATGTGACTTGACACTACATAAAATTTCATCTGTATTTATCACTGGCAGTGAGGTAGGAGCTAGGCCAAGCACATAAGGTGCATGTCCAGTTATAGTTGTTCACACCCCAGGTCACGGTGATCACGTGTGACGAGAACAAACAAAGAACAAAAGTATATTACCAGAGTGAGGAATGAAGGAAGAAGCCCCTGTGAGGACGGTGGCATCAACACTGGTGTGTCTGGCCGCCTCTCTCTCTCTCTCAACACCTCACTAAACAAACTTATTGAAACCTTCATACAAATTATCGGTCTTTATTGTGAATTCCTTAGAAATTAGAATGTCTATTTATACTCTTGATTTAAGGGCGACTACTGTCTATTTATTCTTGAATTCTTCACATTATGAGTAGGTCAGGGAAACATTTTCTTTGAAGTAAATAGTAATCTGAAGCAGTAACTACTTTATAATAATATTACCTAAATTTACCTGTGGGGGCCACCATCTCACTATTAGTCTCGATTGTGACAGGAAGCCGGTGACATGTCAAAGACCTCCATTTGTTCCTGATGATTTTATCTGGCTGAATTTGTAATAGTAGCAGTGTTTAGCATTTATAACTTCAGCGGGTAAGCAGTTCCGTTGCTTTATTTACCTGAGAGATTTACCTTTTATTCTTTATGCTCAATTAGTATTAAGCTTTAGTCATTTAAGTTTTTCATGCCCGAAACGCTTTGCGTAATAGTGGCTTTAGGCATTGTATGTACTAGCCCTATCTATAAATTCATCACTCTTTGTATAATCTCTTGTATGTATGTACCTTACCTAAATAAACATTTGATTTTTTTTTTATTTGAGAGCAACTAATTTATTTATTTATTTGTTTATTTATTTATTTATTTATTTATTTATATACAAGAAGGTATATATATATATATATATATATATATATATATATATATATATATATATATATATATATATATATATATATATATATATATATATATATATATATATATATATATACACACTAATATTGAGGACTATATCCACAGTCTCTGTACCTAATGCCTACTAATTCCACTGATGTTACTGACATTATCCTTTCCCTTAAAACCAAGTCTAGTGCCCTTGAGGAGATACCAAGATACCATATTTTTATTTACAAAAAAGCCTCCAGATTTTTAGCTCCTGCCATTGCATTGCTCTTCAACAAGTCACTTGAACTCCAAACCTTTCCAGATACTCTAAAAAAAAAGCGAGAGTAATCCCTGTCCACAAATGTGGTGATCCCACTGATGTTAACAACTTCAGACCTATATCAATTCTGCCAAACTTGTCTAAAATATTTGAAAAACTTATATACAAGCAGCTTTACTCTTATCTAGCCAAACAAATTATACTTAGCTCTTGTCAATATGGCTTCCGACCCAAAAAAGCACTAAAGATGCACTTATTAGTATGATTAACTTGATACACACAGCTCTTGATAAAAATGAGTTCCCTGTTGGGTTATTTGTGGACCTGCGTAAGGCTTTTGATACTGTTAACCACCAAAACCTTCTTAAATTACAACATTATGGAGTCAGAGGTCACTCCCTGCAGTACCTTGAGTCCTACCTTACTGACAGGCTCCAATATGTTTCTGTGAATAAATTAATTTTTCCCACCCTACCCATCAACATTGGTGTTCCCCAGGGCAGCATACTTGGCCCTCTCCTCTTTCTCATCCACATTAATGACCTTCCAAATGCCTCCTAACATCTCAAACCAATTCTATTTGCTGACGACACGACCTTCATTTACACCAGTCCTGACCCCCTTGCTCTAAATGTCACAGTGAATACTGAGCTAAATAAAGTCCATCACTGGCTAACTGCCAACAAACTCACCCTCAATATTGACAAAACTTTCTATATATTGTGTTTGGCAATGAATCCTCAAATCAAATAAATCTCAGGAATAACAATACCCAAATTTGTAACAAAGTAGATGGCAAATTCCTTGGCGTTCTCATTGACCGCAAGCTGAATTTCCAAGGACACATTCTACATATATCAAAAAAAGTTTCAAAAACTGGTAAAACATGATTCATTAGTTCACGAGCAAGATAATCAAGAATAATTCTTGATTATCTTGCTCGTGAACTAATGAACCATGTTTTCATTAGATAATCAAGAATAATTCTTGATTATCTTGTTCGTGAACTAATGAATCATGTTTTATCTCTTTCTGCTGATATTATTGTCAATCTTGTTAAGTTGTGCATTAAAGAATGTAAATTTACCTTTAATAATGAGTATTATTTACAGACTTTTGGAATGGCAATGGGGAATCCCTTATCGCCATTGCTTTCAAACTTGTACATGGAATTCTTCGAAAAGAAATTTGTTTCAAAAATTACCCCTGGAATCATTCCATGGTTTAGATATGTTGATGATATTTTGTGTATATGGCCTTCAGATGTAAACACAGACGAATTTGTAGCCAAACTTAATCATCAAGTCACCTCTATAAAATTTACTATGGAGACTGAAATTGATAAATGTTTGCCATTCCTAGATGTACTTATTCATAGGGAAGATTTTTCACTAAAGTTTAGTATCTACAGAAAACCTACGAATAATTTATCTTATGTTCATTATTTTTCAGGGCATAGATACAATGTGAAAAAATCATTTTTTTCATCAATGTATCTAAGAGCTCTTCGAGTTGTGAGTCCAGAATTCTTAGATGAAGAGTTTAAGAATATTGATTCGATTGGTCTCAAGCTTTGTTACCCACTGAATTTTTGGGAAGTTTGCCGTAGCAAAGCACGTCGTACATATTATAATAATATATGAAGAGAAAAAATTCGCCCAAAGAATGTGTTATGTTTACCATATTTCTCTGGGTTTGAGAATATTGTCAAGGCCTTGAAACTTTTTGATATACATGTATTGTTTAGCTATGACAATACTGTTGGTGAACTATTAGTTAGAAACAGCCCTCGTAGTGATAATTGTGTCATTTATAAAATACCTTGTAAAGACTGTAATAAGTTCTATGTTGGGCAAATATCTAAAGATTTGAAATGTAGAATTTCGCAACATAAATACTCTGTAAGACATTGTTACGGACCCGGATCCAGCGTCCGAGCACGGAGCAGTAACGACCGCGCCATCTGTGGGTCAGCTCCCGAAACCCCCTCCAAATGGACGACGACACCTGGTGAGGACGACGCGTACTGGCCACAAGGGCCAATTTCCAATCCTGTTCAGCACACAACACAGCCACCGCTGACCTCTGGTGAGGTGGTGCTCAGACACCAATGCCATCTATGGAGTGGATAGGTGGGCGTTTGGGTCTGAGCCTGTAAGTGAGGTGCTTTAGTGTATCCCTGTTATTGATGACGTGTCTGCTTACAGAGTCGACCTGGGACTGCTGTAAGGGAAGTTGAGTCAGTCTACCCAAGGCAGCCGTCCCCATACCTTGTGCTTTGCTGCAGCAGCTGTGAGTCGCCTCCCGGAAGAACACTGTGGTGTTACCCTGTCAGTGAAGTGGCAGTTGAAGGGTTGTCGTACCCGGGACCGACTGCTGGAGACGATTGACCACTGGGGTATTCTGGACAGGAGAGTGATCTGTGGTATCACACGAGGCTCCTGACTAGGGCGCTACCCTAGTATCGCTCGTGGAGTGGCCTGAACAGCGTTGCTGATCCGGAACCTGCCAGCGGCTTGCTGGGCTTGTGGTTGATGGCCTCCATGGCGGTGCCCCAGTGGAACTGTGTTTTGGCTGGCCTGTGGCCGGGGTAGACTCTGCTTGATCGAAGGATTCGTCAAGAGACCACGAGAGCACTGAGGACTTGGCACTGAAAGGATCCAGCGTCTTCAGGAGAAGACGACCGTGTATATACGTCCCCTGTGCAGTGTTAATACCCCTCCCCCTGTGTAATCTTTTATACATTATTTATTGGTGATGGTAATAATTATAGTATTAAGTTCTTGACTTTATTTCCCTTCCCCTTTAAGTTACTTGCGCTACGGATCACATCCCTTGAAAGCCACTACTGGCTTGGGGCCGGATACCCTTCCTCTAACAACATCAGAGTAAGAACCCAGTTGAGACCCGAGAGGGCCGTAACAGACATGGCCAATTGACTAATGCTTTGTTCGTTAATTTGTCAGAAGATGCTCACCAAATTGATTGGGAGATGGCTTCTTCAATAACGAATTGTAAAAGCACTTATAACAGAAACATAATTGATTCTGCTTTGATACAGATCACAAAAGAAAGTAATTTGAACATTAGCAGTGGTTTATATAACTTAGATCCATTTTTAATAGATCAATTAAAGGGCGATTTGAGTAGGATCATTGGAACACATTTGTCTCACTAATTCATTGTAAATATTTATTACCTTATGCTATGATTATCCATGTGTGGGCCTGTGTGTGGTTATGAATGGGAGCTGCATCGGATGGGCCAATAGGCCCTCTGCAGTTTTTGTGTGGCTCGTATTTGTGTCCACTTATTGTACCTCACCTCACTTCACTATTCTCTCCTGCCTATTTATGTCCAGTACTCGACCTGTAAAACCACTCCTTCTGAAGATGTATTAATATACGAAAGTACTTAAGGAAATTCCTGTTTCAATTTTCCTCCGTGGTCTGACACTGTCACATTTAGTCAAATCTGCATCAGCAGATGTTATAAATTCCCAGAGGTACTTGTAGCCGAGCCTAAGCCTAGCAGTGGTAACATCTAGAAGTCTGCTAACATTTTTGGATGACCCATAGACGTGCGGTTCTTCCTGCATAATAGAATGATAGATGATGTAACTGGTGTGAATTTCACTTTGCCTCAAGTCTCAGAAATTTAGTTGATGTTCCTGGGTTATTGACGCCCTCAGGCTGCTTGAAGGCAGTCCAAGTTGGTAATCAATTCTCTCTTTACGAGCATAAGTCTTGGCCAACCTATCTGTTCTATCATGCATTCGGAGACCAGTATGGGAAGGAATCCACAGGTGACAAACTCTGACTCCACCATTGATTATTTCATTATATCTGTGTCTAGCTTCAGAGATAAGCACGTCACAGTCATGCCTTAGGGAGCTGAGGACAGTCAAGGATGACAAGGAGTCACTTACAATTAGCGTGTCAACTTTGGATTCATAAATGAAATGACGCTCGGGAGTCAAATTTCCGACACTTCAGATATTTTGAAAACTGCCGGGGGGTTTTGACGAAATATGACCCATCGCTGTTTTCAGTAATTGGCATATTTTCAGTATAAAAAGTAGTAATTTGAAACTGCAAATAGGTGCAGAGAGCCAGAATTCGGCTCAAAAATGACGC